GGGACACGACTTGGTGGGGTGGGGTTTGCTCGGGTGTGGTTGGGCGGGGTTTGTGGGCGGGGATGAGGGTTGTGGGCGGTGCTCGGGCGGGGTTTGTGGGCGGGATCGAGCGCGCAGGACCCCCCCAACCACGCCCCCCCTTTCCCCGCAGGTGGCTGGACGCCTCGCGGTCCCTGATGGAACAGGACGTGGTGGACGATGAGGAGCTGCTGCTGCGCTTCAAGTACCCCTGTGCCATGGGGCTGGACCCCCAGGTACCCTCAAATCCCCCCTGGTGACCCCTAAACCCCCCCAGGGACCCCCAACCCTCCCGTGTCACTTCCCAAACACCCCTCAGGAGGGAGTTAGGGAGTCCCTGTGGGTCCCTGCTGGGGTTTTGGGGGTCCCTGGGGGTTAAAGCCCCCCTGGGTGCCCCCCCGTGCCCCAACACTGTGATGCCCCCAGGAGGGCGGGCTGCGCATTGCGCTGCTGCATGAGCAGGCACGCGGGGCCCTCCTGGCCGAGGAGATCGACTGTACCGAGGAGGAGATGCTGCTCTTTGCTGCCCTCCAGGTACCCCAGAACATCCCTGGACAATCTGGCACCCCACCGAACCCATCCCCTGATCCTCTGCGACCCTCCTCAAAACCCTGTACCCCAAACCCCACCCCAGATTCCCTGGGAGCCCCTGGGACCCCCAAGAACCCTCCAGACTCACCCAAACCTTCCTGGACATCCCTGAGCCCCAAACACCTCTGGACCCCTCAGTCTCCCATTGACCCCTCTGAGACCCCCCTTAATTCTCCTGACCCCTCTGTGACCCCTCCAATTTTCCTGACCCCCCATGACCCCCTCCAACCCCCAGTACCAGATAGATGGGGCAGAGGGGGGTGATGGGGACCCCAAGGGCCCCCTCGAGCCCCAGGACCTGGACACAGCCCTGGACAAACTGGAGCTGAGCCTGGAGGGGCAAAGGACCACCATCCTGCCAGTGAGACTGGAGGCACTGGGAGGCACTGGGAGGTACTGGGAGGGGTTTGGGGGGACTGGGGAACACTGGGATGGATATGGAAGGCCCTGAGGAGCACTGGGTGGTACTGAGGGCCTCTTCTGGCCATGCTGGGAGGACTGGGGGGCACTGCTGGGGGGGGAGGGGTAAGAACTGGTGGGGGCTGGGGTGGGGAGCACTGGGGAGGCACTGGGAGTCAATGGGGATTACTGAGGTCTGGGGGAGTCCCCAGGAGGAGCTTGGAGCTGCCCCTGAGCTGGTGGAGGAGCTGGAGATCTACAGGTACCCCCACAACCCCCAAACCCCTTGCCTGATCCCAAAATTGGGGTTCCCCCAGGCCCTCCTCCTGGCCATTCTGGGGCTCCCTCTTGACCCCCCCCAACCCCCAAACTCGGGGTACCCCCAGGTCCTCCCGCTGGCCGTTCTGGGGTTCCCGACCTGCCCGGGCCGTGCTCTCGGGGTCATCACTGTCACTCTGGAGCCTCCCGAGATCGGGGGGGCCCCCACAGCAGCTCAACCTCCGCGGTGAGACCTCAAAACCCCCCCTGGGCCCCCAAACTCCCTCTGGCACTCACAAATCATCGTGGGACCTTCCCACAAGAACCCCCCCCCAGACCCCCAAATCCCCTGGAACCTCCCCATTCCCCCCATATGGGCCTCCTAAGACTCCCCTGGGACCACTGGGGCCAACCCCCAGGACTCCCAGGTTCCCCCCAGACCCTCCTGAGACAAGGCCAACTCCCCTCTTTGGTTCCCCCAGGACCCTGAAATACCCCCTCAAGAACCCCCCATTTCCCTCTGGGACCCCACCAGGGCTCACAAATTCTCCCCCAAACACCCCTGGGACACCCCCAGCTCCCCTCCTGAGTTGCCAACATTCCCTTTGGAAACACCCCCATCTCCTCCCAGGACCCCTCTGGGCCCCCCTTAGAGTCCCAAAGCCTCCCCAACCCCCTCTAGGATGCCCTGAACTCCCCTCCTGGGCTGCACCCAGGCCTGCCTGACCCCCCCATATCCCCAGGCTGTGAGGTGACCCCTGACATGGATTTGGGGGCGCAGAAGTTTTACATCAAACTGCGGGTGCCGACACCGGAGGGGATGAGCGAGACCCTCCTGCGCTGCCGTGATGTGGGTGGGAGGGCAGGATAGGGGTGGTGGGGGGCACTGAGGGCTCTGGGAGACCACAGGGACTATGGCAGGGCCCCACTGGGAAACGGGAGGAACGGGACGTGGGAGTTCAGGGAGTCCTGGAGTATTTGAGGGCAGTTGGGGGGGTCTCATGGTGATTTGAGGGTCCTTGGGGGCTCGGGGGTGGGGGGAGGGTTAGAGGAGTCCCGGGGTTTTGGGGGGGGGGGTCTCAGAGGGGCTCTTGGGGGGGTTTGAGGTCTCAGGGGTTTTTTTTTACATTCTCAGGGGGTTTGATGGGTCCCAAGGGGGTTTGGGGGTCCTGGAGGGCTCAAGGGGTCCCAGGAGAGTTCTGGGGGGTTTGAGGGAGTTCGAGGGGTCCTGGAGGAGTTCTGCAGGGGTCTTTGAGGAGTCTCAGAGAGCTGGTGTGATACTCCCGCCCCCCCAGGCCCCCCAGTATGCCCGTTGGGTCGCCGGGTGCCGCTTGGCCTCCCGTGGGGGGTCCCTGTTGGCCACATCACTCGGGGCGGAGGCTCAGGGGGTCCTGGGGGTCCAGCCAGGGAGGGAGGACCCCACTGTGCCTCCCTGGGCCCTCTCACGCCGACCCCCAGATCCACAGCAGCTGTTGCCCCCCCGCTTCCAGCGCAAGTTCAAGGCCAAGCAGGTACTGGGCCCTCCCATCCTTGTACAGCCAGCGGCTGTTCCCCCAGTCCCTGGGGCGCCCCCAGTCCCCCCCCACTCTCCCCTCCCTCACAATGGCCCCCCCCAGCTCACCCCCCGGCTGCTGGAGGTTCTGCACCGTGTGGGGACACTGACCCCAGGCCAGGCCCGGCTGCGCTTCGTGGAGGCCTGGAGGGCCCTGCCAGGGTTCGGGCTGGGGCACTTCGTGGTGAGGTACTGGGGGCACTGGGAGGGAGCGCTGCCACACTGAGGTGCTGTACACTGGGAGCACTGCTCAGGGCCGGGCCAGCGCTGGGGAGGTCCCCGGAGTTCCAGGGGTCCCATGTGTTTTGGGGGGGGTCTCACAGGTTCCAGGGTGCCAGGCGTGATGAGATTTTGGCTGTGGGCCCCTCACAGCTGCTCCGGATCGATCCTGGCTCTGGCGCCGTCACCCGCAGCTGGAGGCACAGTGACCTGCGCCAGTGGGACGTCAACTGGGACAGCCAGCAAGTACTGAGGACTGGAGGGGAGCGGGAAGCACTGGAAGTGGACTGGCTCTCACCCCCATCCCTTTTCCCCCAGGTGCGGCTGTGGCTGACTGGGGACGTGACGCTGGGGCTGCGGGTGCTCTCGGCAGCCCCCCGGGTGCTGCACCAGTTCCTGGGGGGGTATCTGGTGCTAGGGGGACAGCGGCCAGGGCAGCTCCCAGACCCTGATGTGCTGAGGCGCCTGATGGAAGGGGGGGATGACCCCTAACGCCCCCAAGCCCCATGCAAGAGTGGCCTCATGCAAATGCCCCCATCCCACTGTTGGCACCAGCCTCAACTCCCCCAATCCCTGTTCCTCCCACAGCACTTGTGCACCCTCCCTCCCTCCTCCTGCTGTGCAAGGCACTTGTGCAAGGCTTGTGCAACACTGGTGTGATGGAGCTGAACGTGCTTACTGTGCTCAACAGAATGGTGGTGGCTGTTGGGCCTCACAGGCAAGGGGGTCACAGTCCGTCCTCGTGGCAGGGGCTCTCACTGTCCTTGTGCAAAAGGTTTGGACGCCCCAGTCCTCATGGAAGAGGGTCACAAACCATCCTCGTGTGACAAGGCCACAACTCTGTCCTCAAATGAGGAGTCTGGACCCCCACAATCCTCAGGGGCTCTCATCTCACTGTCCTTGGGCAGTGGGATCCCACTGCCCCTCCTGGACTCCCTGGACCCCCAAATCACCCCAGGGCACCAACTCTCCTCCTGGGCTCCCCCCCCAGTTTCCTCACTCATTTCCCACCCTCCAGGAGACCCCCAGGCCCCTCCCCTCCTCCCCAGCCCCCCAAGGCTGGGCCACTGCTCCGCTCTTTATTTGGGGTCACAGCACCCCAGAACCAACACAGGATGGAGGGAGGGAGGGGCAGCACCCCCTGCCTCCCCTGGGGGGTCGAGGTGTACCCGGGGGGGGTCCCAGAGGGGTCCCCGGGATTTGGGGGGGTCACCGGATGGCAATGAGCCCCACATCCATTAGCTTCTGGATCTTCTGGGCGATGAGAGGGTTCTTGAGGTGCCTGGGGGGAAACCGGGGAATCAGCATGGGCACAGGGGGGACCCAAGGATGGGCGGGGATGCCTGGGACCCCCCTTGGAATACTCCTCCACATCTTGGGCACACCCACTGACACACCTGGGGACGTGCTAGGCAACCCTGGGCAACCTCATGGAGACTCAGTGAGCTGTGAGAGATGGGCAATGACACCCCATCAGACCTTGGGGACCTCCAGGACGACCTCAGAGAGAGTTGGGGACCCCCCCCACAGCTGTAGAGGGCTTGGTGTGGCTCCTTCAAGGCTCAGTGAACACCATAGGGTGGCTGCTAACATCCCAGAAAATTCCCCCGGGACTCACTCGCTGAGGGCCTGGGGGTCCTTCTGCATCTGCTCGAGGATGAGGCGCATGGCCGGGTCCCCCATGATCTGCTGCACCTCGGGGTCGGCGAGTGCCCGGCGCCGCAGCTCCTCGGGGGGCTCTGAGCGCTGCTGCTGCGCCCGCAGGCACCGCCGCTGCCCCTCTGCCGCCTCCTGGGGGACACACGGGGCATCGTGGCGGGTCACGGGGGTGTGGTAACCCCAGGCAGCGCTGCCGCCACCTCCTGGGGGGCAGGGTGGGGGGCACAGAGATCAGGGGGGTTGGTTCACAGGGGATGCTCTAACCCCAGGCAGTGCCACTGCCCCTCCACTGCCTCCTGAGGGTGACAGGGATCACAGAGGGGCACACGCGGGGGGGTCACAGGGGGTGCTGCGGGTAGTGCCACTGCCACTGTGCTGCCTCCTGGGGATTACAGGGGGCTGGGGGGCCACGGGAGTCACAAACTGCTGTACTCTCAGGTCCTGCAGTGCCACTGGGGGGCCCGGGTAAGCAGGGGCTCAGGGGTGGTCACAGGGGTCAGCAGGGGCTCAGGGGGTTGCGGGCTCACCTTGCAAGTGGGGTCGAGGTCCAGGGCACGCTGATAAACCTCCATGGCCTTGGTGTAGTCACGCATGGCCTCGAGCGCCGCCGCCTTCCGCGTGTAGCCCTTGACTGGGTGGGGGCGATGCACGCAGGTACAGGTGAGAGAGGAAAATGTGGGTACAGGTGAGGGATGGACACAGATACAGGTGAAGAAAGGAGAAAGGAGTACAGGTACAGGTAGAGATGGCTGAAGGCAAAGCAGTGAAAGGGCAGGGCCTAGCCCCTCCAGTGCCCCCCCGCATTCCCCACTCACTGAAGGTGGGCTCCAGGCGAATGCACTCCTCACAGTCCTGTGGGAAAAAGCAGATTCAGAGGCATCTCAAAAGCCCCAAACTGACCCCTATACCTTCAGACCAGCCCCATACCTTCAGACCAGCCCCAGGACCCCTCCTACCCCCCCAAGCCAGCCTCCAGCCCCTCAATTCAGCCCCCCTGCACCCCCAGCCCTGTACCTTGAGGGCGAGGGGGAACTCGAGCAGTTTGGTGTAGCAGGCGGCACGGTTGCTGTAGAGCCGGGCCTCATTCGGGTTGCGTCGGATCGCCTCGCTGTAGTGCCGCATGGCCTGGGGGTAATCCCCTAAAACGGGACGCCCCCCCGCCTGCTGTCAGGGGGTGCCCCCCAGATGCAGGGCAGGGCCCCCCCAGCCCACCACAGCGCCCCCCCACCTCGCTGGAAGCACTCGTTGCCCTTGTTCTTTTCCTCCAGCGCCAGGTCGGGGTCAATGTAGGCCAAGCGCTCCTGCTCCTTCAGGATCTTCTCAGCCTGTGGCAGCAACTAGGGGGTTCAGGGGGGGGCCCAGGAGAGCTGCCCTCCCTCCCTCCACGCCCCCCACGTCACCTGCTGACACTTCTTGAGCACATCGGGCGTGCGGTGCTCAGCCAGAGACTTGTTGTAGAAGTGGATGGCGTCCTTGTACCGCTCCTCGCGCAGGTAGGAATTCCCGATCCGCGCGTACGCCCTGGGGGAAATGGAGGGTCGGGGGGCGATTTTGGGGGAACCAGAGAGGATACCCCTGGTTCCAAACCTCCCAACTCACTTGGCGATCTGCCGGTAATCCTCCCGGTTCTCCCGTCCCAGCTCGATGGCGCGTTCGCACAGTGCCCGGCACCGCTCGTAGTCACCCGTCTCAAAGTACACGGCTGTGTTTGAGGGCAAGTTTGGGAGTTCAGGGGGGTTTTGGGGTTTGGGAGGTGCTCAGGGGTGATTGAGGGGTCACGCACCCGCCTGGTTGGTGACGTAGGTCATATTGGTGGGGTCTAGCTGCTCGGCTCGGGTGTAGTGTTCCAGTGCTGCTGGGAACTCCTTCCGCTTGTAGGCGGCATTGCCCAGCTCCTTCTCCCGCTGTGCCTGATGGAGGGGGGGTCACCCTAAAACTGGCTGGGACCCCCCAAACCCTAAAAGCTGCTGCCCAGACCCCCAAAACCTGGCCAGCTCCTGCTCCCACTGAGCCTGGGGGGGTGTGTCGCCCCAAAACTGGCTGTGACCCCCTCCCGAACCCCAAAACCCGCTCACCCGTCACCCAGCTTCTTCTCCTGCTGTCCCTGATGGGGTAGATCATGTCAAAACTGGCTTGGACCCCTCCAAAGGTTGGCCAGCCCCTCTATCATCCCGCTGCTTCCCCTGCTGCACCTTCTACAGAGAGATCACCCCAAAACTGGCAGGAAGCCCTCATCCCCAAACTTGGTTGAGACCCTCCCTGAATCCCAACTCCTCCCCCAGCACCACAAAACCTGCTCCTAAATGCCCTAACCCTAACCCCAGCACCCACAAACCTGCCTTACAGCCCCCCTGAACTCTCCTCAGCTGCCCCGAACCTGCCCACCCGCCTTGTCTATCATGCTGCTCTTCAGGTGTGCAGGGGGGTTGTGTGTCCTCAAAACATCTCCCTCCCCTCCTTATGGGTTTTGGGAACACCCCCTCACCTCCTGCTTGTTCTGGGGGAGCTCCTGGGGTGGTGGGGGCTGGGCAGGGGGCGGGGGGGGTGGGGGTGGAGGGGAGGGGGCCTCCTCCTCCTCCTCGGCCCCGCTCAGCTCCACCCCCAGCAGCACACTCAGCGTCGTCATCACCCGGGGGTCCTGCAGCTTCCTGGCGGGAGGGGCAGGGGTGCGTGGGGAAGTGCCCCAAAATTTACATCCCGATATCCACCGGGGGGGCTACATCCCAAAATCTGCACCCCGACATCCCCCAAGGGGGCTGCACCCCAGAACCTGCACCCTGACCCCCACCCAGGAGCCCTGCTGCTTCCCTGAGCTCCCCAAAATCAGCTAACACCCCCCAGTCTCCCAAATTCAGCCCTACATGCCCTCCCAGTCCTACCCCAAAGCCACCCCAAACCCCTTCCTAGCCCCACCCCAGTCCTCCAGAGCCCCCTCCCAGCCCACCCTGGCCCCGCAAGGCCCATTCCCAGCCCACCCAGGCCCCCCCGAGGCCCACTCCCAGCCCCCCAGGGCCCCCTGAGGCCCAGCACTGACGCCCCGAGCTGCCCCGGGTCGCTGCGCAGCGTCTCCAGCAGTCGCCGGTACTCGGGGTCCCCCAGCAGCGCCCGCGTCCGGGGGTCCCCCTCAAGTCGTGCCAGCAGGTCAGGGGCACTGAAGGGGTTCAGCAGTTTCCGCTCTGAAATTAGGTCAAAGACCTTTGCAGGGACTCCAAATAACCTTCCTAGGACCCCCAGTCCCATTCTGAGAACCCCAAAAACTCCCCACATCCCCTCCCAGGGACCCCAAACCCCTCAGAGCCACCCAAAGCCTCTCACAGGGACCCCCAAACCTGCTCTGGGACCCGCAAGCAGCCTCCCCAGCCACTCCTCCACTCCCTGCAACCCCTCCAGCCCCGTGTCAGCCCACCCCTTCCCAGGCCCAAACCCCCCAACCCCTCTCAGGCCACCCTCAGAACCCCGCTGAGCCCCCCGTACCTGCCAGCCGTGTCTCCACCCCACGCAGGCCCTGCAGCAGCTGCTCATTCCCGGGGTCCCGTGCCAGCCCCTCCTCATATGTGGCCTTGGCCTCCTCCAGGCGCTGCAGGAACTCCAGTGCTGCTGCCTTCCGTGAGTACCCCTGGAAAGGGGAGCAAAGAGGGACCCGGGGATCAGACCTCCCCCCCTGGAAAAGGGGAGCAAAGGGGGACCCTTGGGTCAGACCCCCCAGGGGAACCCTGACCCCTGCCACGGTGGAGACCCTTATGCCCCACCATCAACGACTACCCTTGGGGGTAGGGGTGACCCCTACGGTCAGACCCCCTGGGGCCCCCCAGGGTGAGAGCTCCCAGGGTCCCCCCAGCACCCCCCCACCTTGGCCCAGTCAGGGCGCAGCTCCAGCGTGCGGCAGGCGTCGGCCAGGGCACGGGTGTAGTCCCCGAGCCGCGCGTAGGCGGCCGAGCGGTTGCTGAACAGGACGTGGTTGTTGGGGTCCCGCGCGATGGCGGCCGAGTAGTGCCCCACGGCTGCCCCCACGTCCCCCGCCGCCAGCGCCCGGTTCCCCCGCTCCTTCAGCTCCTGAGCCTGCGGGACACGGAGGGAAGGCACGGATCGCGGGGAACGGGAGAGTGTGAGGAAGAGGAGAAGGGAGACGAGGAAGGAGAAGGGAAGGGGGTAAAGAAGAGTATGAAAGGGACGAGGAGGAAGAAAAGGAGGGCAGAGGGGCAGGCAGGAGAAAAGCAAAGGGAGCAGCAAGGTGCGAGAAAGACGAGGAGGATGAAGGGGTGAGAGAGGAGAAGAGGCACGAGGAGGAAGAAAAGCAAGAGAACCAAGAAGGGACGAGGAAGAAGAGAGGCGTGAGAAAGTGGAAAGATGAAGGAAAGTAAAGGACAGATGGAGAGGGAGGAAGAGAAACAGAAGAACGTGAAGATGGAGCCGGGGCCCCGGGCCCCCAAACAACGGGACACCACCCTCCAGCCCCTCCCCGCCTCCTCAAGGACCCCGAAACCCCCCGGAAACTCCCTTTGCCCTCAGCTCCCCCTAGGCCCCGCTCGCCACCCTCCCGGGACACCTCAAGGACCCCCAGACAGCGTGAAACCGCTCCGAGCCCCTGAGGGCTCCCCGATCCCTCTCGGAGCGCCCCGACCCCGGTCGGGGCCTTCAATCCCCTCAGGGACCCCCAGGGCCCCCCGGCCCTCCCCAGGGTCCCCCGGCCCTCCTCAGGCCCCCTCCCCAGGATCCCCCAGATCCAGACCCAACCCTGGGACCCCCTGGCACGCCCCGCAGGTTCCTCCGCCTGCCTCTGGGACTCCCAGGACCCTCAAGACCCTCTCGTCCCCCCCAAACCTCCTCCATGGCCGCAACTCCTCTCGCGCCGCTCCCGCGCCGCCCTCTGGAAGCTGCTAGAAACCCTCGGCCCCACCCCTCGCGCCCCATTGGCCGTCGGTCCCGCCCGCCCGCCCCCGCGCGCGCTCCAATTGGCCGCCGCCCGCGCTTCTGCCTTCCCATTGACCACCGGGAGAAATGGTGCCCGCCCCCCTCCGGACCCGCCCCCGCCGGAAGCCTGCAGCGGGTCCCGCCCCCTCCCGCTCCCATTGGCCGCGGTGCCCAGTGCCGAATGCCCATTGGCCGCGCCCCGCGCTCCCTTCTGGAATTTTCCACTCTCCATTGGCTGCGAGTGACGCCTATCAGGGGGGAGGGTATGGGTGGGTGGAGGCGGGAGTGCTCCCCCTGGCGGCGAGGAGGTCTGGCTGCCGAACGTGTCTCCTGGGGGAGCGAGGGGCGGGGTTTGCACGGGGGCGGGGCTTGCACACGATTCCCACCCCACACCCCCCCCCCCGGAGGCCAAGGGGAGTCATGTGGGTGGAGGCAGGTGGTCCCTAGTGGTGGGAAGGGGGGTGTTGAGTGACACACGTGACCTTGACAGGACCCAAGCATGATCCCCCTCCCCTGACACACCCCCCTCCCCAGCCCTCGTGCAAGGCCTCATACCCCCCCCAAACTCCCCATTGCTCGTCCTACCCCAGGGTATCCCTGTGTCACCGCCACCTCATTACTCTCAGTGACCCCATATGACCATCCCCCAACCGTGCCGCTTCCTGCAAGACCCCTTGTGTGAACGCCCCCGGGTGACAGCTCCCCACCCCATCCCACGGGAAAGAGGCACTGGCAGGAAAAGGAGCCGCTGGGTTTATTTGGGGGTCAGGGTTCCCCTCGGCCCTTTTGGGTCGATTTTTCCTGATTTTGGTCCTTTTTCCCCAAATCCAACAGCACGGGCAGGGGGAAGGGTGAAGGCACCTCGCGGGGGGAAGGGAGGGGGCACAGACCCGGGGAGGGGGCGCAGCAGGGGACCACCCTGACCCCGAGTCCCCTCTGCCTTCACCCCCCAGGCTTTGTCCAGGCCTGGGGTCCTCCTGGAGGTCCTGGAGGGATCGAGGCTGTCAGGTCCGTCCCTCTCCCCAATCCTGTTCCTGCACCAAATCTGCCGTTTTTCCCCCAAAAAAGCCGCGGTGCCGAAAAAACACCTTAAAAAAGCCAAAATGCCCCAAAAGGGAAGCGGGGGAGGTGCAGGGCGACCCCTCTCCTCAACTCCCCGGCGGGTCCCCCCAAATGTCCTCAGAACAGGGGCAAGCGGCCACAGCCCCAGAGGGGTCCCCAACACGTGGGGTTTTCCAGGAAGAGGGACCCCCCCATCAGGACCCCCCATCCCCTTCACCACCGCCATGGGGCACCTGCCCCCCCCGGTACCCCCGAGCGCTGGGGAGGGGCAGCGGGGGCGGCGGAGGGGGGTACACGGTGCGTATTCCGCCCTCGTCGGGGGGCCGCAGGGGCCGCAGTGGCAGCCGCCCCGCTCTGCTGATTTTAGGGGGTGGGGGGGGCGCCCCTCCTCGCCCCCCCCGCCTCCTCCTCCTCCTCCACCACCCTCCCAGCACCCCCAGGATCACCCCGGCAGCTGCCGCTGCCGACGCCCCCAGAGCCGCAGCCGGGGGGAGCGCGGTGGGGGTGTCCCCGGCTGGTGCACCGGGAGAACCGGGAGGGGAGTCCCCGGCCCCGGCGCGGGCCTGTGTGCAGAGCGGGGGGGCGGCGGGGGGCTCGAGGGCCGCGAGGCACACGCGGTACGGGGCACGGGGCTGCAGCGCCCGCACCACATACTCTCCCCGCTCCCCCCGCACCAGTGTCTCAGTTACGGCCCCCCCTCCGGGCCGCAGCCAGCTCAGCCGCAGGGATGCGCCAGGGGGGGCCGGTGGCCACCGCACCCGCAGGGCCCCCCCCGGCGCCGCCTGCACCCACAGCCCTGGTGTGGCCGCAGCCCCTGGCGAGGCGGCCATGGCGCCATTTGAAGCCGCTGGGGACACGGCTGCGATGCCGGGGGCAGCCCCCCCGGCCCCTGCGGCGGGGGTGTCGCAGGCGTCCATCTCCCCCTGCAGCTCGCCCACCGGCAGCCCCCGCAGCCGCGCGGGTGCCTGGCACAGCAGCCCGCGCACCTCGAGGCGTGGCGGCGCACGCCGGCGCAGCCAGTCCCGCAGCCAGGCCAGGTTGCAGCCACAGAACCAGGGGTTGTTGCGCAGCCCCAGGTGGCTCAGGCTGCCCAGGTCATCAAAGAGCCCCCGTGGCAGCGTCGTCAGGTTGTTGTCCGACAGGTCCAGTCGCTCCAGTGCCCTCATCCGTGCCAGTGCACCGGCTGGCACGTGGCTGATGGCATTGGCGGCCAGCGAGAGCCGGCGCAGCCGTGCACGGGGCAAGTTGGCCGGCGGGGCCGCAAGTGCATTGCGGCCCAGCGAGAGCTCGCTCAGGTTGCCCAGGCGGCTGAAGGTGTCGTCGGCCATGCGCTGGTTGGCCAGCAGGTTCCCGTCCAGCACCAGGCGCCGCAGCGCCGGCAGCCCCTCGAAGGCGCGCAGCGGGATGGTGTGGATGCGGTTGTCGTCCAGGCGCAGCTCCTCCAGCGCCGGCGGCAGCCCGGCCGGCACGCTGCTCAGGTGGTTGCGTGAGAGGAAGAGGAGGCGCAGGCGGCGGTTCTCAGCGAAGGCGTCCTCCTCGATGCCGGCTGCCGACACCGAGTTGTCATCCAGGTGTAGGCGCTCAAGCAGCGGTGCCCGCGCCAGCGCCCGCCGGCACAGCCCGCGCACGTTGTTCTCCTGCAGATGCAGCTCCCGCAGTGCCGGCGGCAGGTGTGCCGGCAGCTGCTCCAGCGCGTTGGCGTACAGGTAGAGCACGCGCAGGGCCGGCAGCCGGCCCAGCCGCGCTGGGATCCCTGCGTCACCGATCCGGTTGTTCTGCAGGAATAGGGTGGTGGCGCCGGGCGGGAGCCCCTCAGGCACGGCCGTCAGCCCCCGGTCGTTGCAGTAGACGCGGCCACCGGCGCAGCGGCACACGGCGGGACAGGCCGCAACAGCCGCGACGGCGACGAGGACGACAGCGGTGACAGCAGTCAGGCGCCGGGGCGGCCCCCCCCACAGCGCCCAGGGCGGGGGAGGGAGGTGGAGGAGGGGGGAAGGGGGGGCCATGGGTGAGGGGGGGGTCCTGTGGGTTGGGGGCAGGTGTCAGGACAGTGGGATGGGGATGCACCCTGGAGGACCTGGGTGCTGTGACCCAGCCCCACGCTGATCCCATATATAGGGCAGGTGCCCCTGCCTCAGCACCCCTTCATCACAGGGGACCCAGAATGCCCACCCTGACCCCATAGAAAGAGCAGGGACACCCCTCTCTCCCATTATTGGGCACCTCCTCAACATTATAGTTTGCAGACCCCTTCAAGCCCATCCCCTGTAGGAGATTCCCCTGACCCCATATTCAGAGTAGGGACCCCCCAGGCCCCCACCGTCATAGGGGGGCCCAGGCGTCCAGGTGTGGTGGGGTAGGGCCCTACCTGGGTCCACCTCGGTCCTCGTGCAACGGTTGTCCCCGTGCGATGGGTCCTCATGCGAGGTCAAGGTTACCGGTGCCGGTTCTCCATGGGCCCCCCCCCCCTGCCGGGGGGGCCGCTTTCGATGGGGAGGGAGTGTGAGCCAAGGGGTCCTCATGTGACAGCCCACCTCGTGCAAAACCTGCCAGGACCCAGGTGTCCGGGCCCCCCCTGGGTGCCAATTACCAGCGTTGCTAACGAACCCCCCCCTCATTAGCAGCATCTCGTTAGGGGAACCCCCCGGGACCCTTGTGCCCCAGGGTCCACCTTGCATCAGCCCCGGCCTCGCACAAGGGGTCACGTGACCCGCCCCGCAGGAGGGGACCCAGGTGATGCCCCCCCATGAACATCCCCGTAAGCCCCAGATACCCCGGTCCTCCCTGGGGTCTGAGGGGGCTCAGGGGGGTCCTGGGGGCCCTATGGAGGTGTAGGGTTGCTCTCCTGAATGCCGGAGTCCTGCGCCCCGGGCTGGAGCATCCCTGGATACCGTGGGATGGGGGGTTTTGGGGGTCTGAGGGTGCTGGTGGGAGGCGCGGGGTCTCGGGGGGGGGGAGCCAGGCCCGCGAATGCCTAGGTTCCTCTCCCACCCCCGCCCTGGATGGTCTCTTCCCTCGGCTGGAGCATCCCCGGCTACCGGGAGGGTTTTGGGGGGGCTCCAGGGGAGCTGATGGGATTTGGGGAGGTTGGGGGGGTTCTCATGGCGGTGGGGGGTCATGCCTGGGTGTCCTCCCCTCTCCCGGACGCCTGGGCCCCTCCCCCTGGTTGGAGCATCCCTGGGAAGTCGGGGTGGGGGAGGGGGAATCGCGGTTTTGGGGGCTGGGGTGTTCGGAAGGGTTTTGGAGGGGGTGTCTCTGCGGGGGAGTGTCGCTCCGGGGGTCCAAGGGCGGAGACGGGCCCCACTCCGGCCGACCGGTCCTTCCCCTGGGCTGGAGCATCCGCGGGTACCGAGGCGGGTGGGGGGTCGGGGGGTGTCGGGGGCGTTGGTTTTAGGGGGGTCCCGAGAGTGCGGTGGGGGTCAGGGAGCCCTTACCGGGTCGGTACCGGCGCGTGCGGGCCCGGCGGCGGCGGCGGCGGCTGCGGGCGTGGGAAGGCGGCGGCTGCGGGGGGGCCTGGGGGGGCCGGGCCGGACCCGCCCCCCCGGTGAGGGGGGACCCGGCGGGGCCTGAGGGAGGCCGGGCCGGGCCCACCCCCCAGTGCGGAGGGACCCGGGGCTGCGGGTGCGTGTGAACGTGGGCCGGGGGTAGAATTCGGGAGGCGGTGCGTTGGCCCATCCCCGCCTCGGTTCCTGGGAAGGAGGTGTGTGGGGGGGTGGTGGGGGCATTCACACCGGGACCCTCCTCCCTCACACGAGGGGTCCATCGTTCCCCGCCGGTGCCTTCGGTAAGGGGGGAGGGGCGATTTTGGAGGCCCCTGGGGGGAGAGGGGTGTTTCTATGGTGCTTTACAGCTGGGAGGTGGAGGGTCCTGCCACCAGGGCGGGCCAAGACCTAGGACACCCCCTGCCCCCGCTGCCCATGCTGAACCCTTTATTAGGTCCCACTGTTCCCCCTCAGCCCCAACCACCCCTGCCCTAAGTGCCCCCAAAAAGGGCCCACAACTTCCTTCCCCCCAGTCCCAACTGCCCCCAACGGGGATCCCAATACCCTCCCACCCCCTCAACTGCCTCTAACCAACCGCTCCATGCCCCCAAATCCCCCGTCCCAAATAAACATGCTCAGCACGGGGGCCACATCTTTATTGGGGGGCGGGAGGGGGGTTGGGAGGCCACAAGAGGGCCTGTGGGGTTGGGGCCCCATGGCCGGGGGGCGGTGGGAGGCCCCTCACGCCAGAGGGGTCACTTGTAGAGGATGTCATAGTGGCCAGGGCGGTAGAGGAGGCAGACGCGGGGCTGGGAGCCCTCGGGGAACACGTGCGGGTTCGTGGCGCCGCCCTCGCCCCGGTCCATGTATTCCACCAGGATGGAGACGTGCAGCGCCCGCGCCAGCGCGATGATGTGGATGTGGTCGCTCTCCTTGCACATGGGCTCCACTTCCTGCAGTGGGACAAGGGCCGTACGGGTGTATGAGGGGCATGGGGGGGGGTGGTGGGCATACGAGGGGGTGCGAGGCTGCGCGACACCTCTCGGGGGCTGCGGGGAGCTGTTGGAGAGGATGAGGGGCAGCACGAGGGGCCAGGGGGCCACGTGAGGGGCCGGGGAGCAGCGCAAGGCCACGTGAGAGGCTGGGGGCCAGCGCGAGGCTGGGCGCAGCCTGTGTGCGCGTGAGGATGAGTGACACCACGAGACCCTCCCCAGACCCCCAGAGTGGTGAGAAGGGCTCTGTGGGGCCCAAGCAGCGCTCTTGTGAAAATGTGTGAAGCTGGGAGGGGCCGCAGAAGGTGCTGGGTAGCCCGTGCGAGGCCACGTGACACCCTGTGAACCCTGTGTGAGTCCTGCGGGAGCCCCACGCAACCCGTGTGAGCCCCAGGAGCCCACACGAGCCCCTTATGAGGTGGGAGCTCTCTGAGCCCTGTGTGCCCCAAACCTGCTGGCAGAACTCCCGTGTGCCCTGTGCCAGCCCTGTGTGCCCCCGTGCCCCAAACCTGCTAGGAGAACTCCTGTGTGCCCCCTGTGCCCCCAACCTGCTGGCAGAACTCCTGCGTGACCCATATGCCCCTGCCATGGTGACAGAACTCCCATGTGCCCTGTGCCAGCCCCGCCTGCACCTAATATGATGACAGAAGTCTTGTGTGCCCCACGTGCCCCATACCTGCTGGAAGAACTCCTGTGTCCCCCCTGTGCCCCATACCTGCTGGCAGAATTCCCATGTGCCCCTGCTGTACTGACAGAACTGTCATGTGCCCCGTGCAAGCTCCACGCGCCCTGATGTGATGACAGAACTCCTGTGTACCCCACATGCCCCGTACCTGTTGGCAGAGCTCCTGTGTGTCCCCTGTGCCCCTGCTATGGTGACAACTCCTGTGTGCCCTAAGGCACGTGTGTGCCCCTGAAGTGATGACAGAAGTCCTGTGTGCCCCACATGCCCTGTACCTGCTGGCAGAACTCCTTGATGCTGCGGCCACCCTCGAGGAACTGCTCAAAGAAGCGGCGGTGGCGCTGGAGGCAGCCCGAGGTGAGCAGCCGCAGGTAAACCACCAGGTAGTCCGAGGTTGCCGGCTCGTTGAAGGCCGCCAGCAGCTCCGGCAGCGGCACACGGCGCTCCACGCGCTCGATCAGCTCCATCAGCTGTGAACGGCAAGCACAGGCGTGTTTGGGGCACACACACACGTGCGTCAGGGACACGTGTACGCGTGTGCGTCACGGGGCACGCACACGTGTGTCACAGGGACACACAGCCAGGTCAGGGGTACGCATCCGTGAGGGGCACACACACGACACACGTGTGTCAGATGCATGCACGTGTGTTGGGGGCACACACAAGGGCACATGCCAGGTCACAGGGACCCCCACCCCCCCATGTGCTCCCTGTGTTGTGGAAGACCTCGATGGCAGACTCAGTGAAGCCCCGTGTCCCTCTGCCCCCCACATTCCTCGTGTCCCCCAAGCCCCCGTGCCCACCGTGTTATGGAAGTCCTCGATGGTGAACTCAGTGAAGCCCTGCGCCACCAGCTCCTCCTTGCTGCGCGCTGACACCTCCTTGAACCTGGGGGGACATCGGGGGGCCCGGGGGTCTTAGGGGGCTCAGGGGGGACCCAAAGGGGTTTGGGATGTCCAGGGGAGCGCTTGAGGGGTCTTGGGGGGGCCCAAAGGGGACTAAATCATTGAGGAGGAGGAACCCAAGGGTTGGGGGGGGGGCAGGGGTCCAAGGAAGCTAAGAGGGTAGGGAGCCAGGGGTCTGAGTGGGAGCATTGGTGCTGCAGGGTCCTCATGAGGGTACAGGGCTGCCTGGGGAGGCTCTGGGAGTGCTATGGAGGATCCGGGGGTGCTGCGGGAATAGTATGGGGGAACTCTGGGGGTTCCCAGGGTGTCCCTGGGGGGACTCCAGGGGGCTCTGGGGATCCGCACCGCTGCAGCTCCTGCCCATCCTCCAGCAGAGCCTCCAGGTGGGCGAAGCCGAAGGCGCGGTAGAAACAATTCCCGTCTGGACGTGTCTTCCGGATGTAGGAATATTTCTGGAGCAGGTCCTGGGAGGCAGAGCGGGCGTGGGGACACTGTGGGGGTGGGGGGACACCCCCTGGGACATCTGGGCTGCTTCCAGTCCTGTGCTGGTGTCCCAGAGTGGCTCCCAGTCCCATAGTGGTACTATTCCCAGTACCACACTGGTGTCCCAGTGCCTCCCAGTATCTCCCAGTGGCTCCCAGTGCTGCACCTTAATCTTTTCCTGGTACACATGGTCATCCTCGGCGTATTCCTTGTAGAGCTCTGAGAGCTCCAGGCGCTCTGACACCAGTGGGTTCTGCACCGCAATCTAGGGGGCAAGACTGGAGGGGGTCAGGGACTGGGGACCCCCACGGGGGGTTGGGCAGGTTTGAAGACCTCCGTGGGGGTTTCAGGGCAGACTCTGAGGGGGTTTAAGGGAGGGTTTTGTGAGGAGTTCTGAGGGGTCGGGGGTTTCCTCACCTCCTGCTGGATCCGGTCCTGCTGCGCCATGATCGCCTCGTCGTAGGCCAGGCAGTTCACGCCTAGGGGGATATGAGGGCTCAGCGGGGGCCCAGAGTGGCTCCACAGCTCCCCAGGGGGGTCTGGGGAGCGGGGACGCCTCCCGAGTGGGTCCTGAGGATAAGGCGGGGGCCGTCGGGAGCCCGGAGAGGGATGGAGGGAGTCTTGAGGGTGCTGGGAGGGGGGGGGTTAGGGGGTATTGGGGCATCGCGGTGGGCGGGGGGGGGGGGGGCTATTGAGGCCCCCCGGGGGGAGCGGGAAGATCCCGGGTCGGGGGTCCCGGGCCGCAAGACCGGGGGGCAGAGAGGGCCCCGGAGAGGTCTGTCGGTACCGTCCGCGTCGCTGCCGCCGAGCGGCTCCGGCTGCGGCTGCTGAGGCTCCTCCGCCGCCATCGCCGCCCTGACCGCGCCGCTTCCGGGGCACCGCCCGCCGCTTCCGGGGCACCTGCCGCGCCGCTTCCGGGGCACCGCCCACCGCTCCCGGGGCGCCGCCGCTACGCCCGGCACTGGCAACAGGCTCCGCCCACGGAGGCGGCCCGGGAGCCGGGTGGCTCCGCCCCTGCAAACAGGCCCCGCCCCGCGGCGGAGGCCGTGTCCCTGTCAGGGAGCGCACCTGGCCCAGTCGTGGGTGACGCAAAGTGACCCTCAGTTTGGGAGGTACAACGGAAATTTTGGCAGTTCTGCCCCTCGAGAGGGAAGCGCGGAGCCCCGGGGTCTGAGGGGCAGGTGATGGGCTGCCCAGGGCAGGTGTTAACCAGAAAGACCTTCCTGTCCTGTCCTGGCACCTTTGGTTTGGCAATGATCTTAGGACTCATTAAATTTTGGAGTCAAGGAGTGGTACTGGGAGCGGTGGGACGAAGTGGGAGCACTGGGGGGAGGCAAGAGGTGTACTGGGAGCGGTGGGACGAACTGGGAGCGCTGCGGGGGGGGGAGCGTCCGAAGTTTCGCTGAATTTTACGGCAGTGTGGCAGGTGCGGCTGCTCAACAGCGGTGCTTTACGGCAGAGTGGCGCGCGCTGCGGTGGCAGCGTGTTTTCTGGGTAACAAAAATAAAAACTTGGAGTTTCTCCCACCCTGGATCGTTTCAGCGACTCTTTCCCCTCGGATTCCCACCTCTCGCGCGTTGTTCCCTCCTTAGGTGTGAACGACGAGGGTGAGGAGCGGGCCTCAGAGGTCAGAGGGGAGCGGCCGGAGGGGCAATCCCGCGGGGGGGTGGTCTCTCAAAGAACGACGGTGGGAGCACCTTGCATGGGCTGGGGGAGCTCTTGGATGCACCTGGAAATGGAGCTTTGCTCGAGGAAGGTGCCAAGGAACAAGATCTGTGCTGAGGGGCAGCGCAGGCGAGGGGACCAGCACCTGAGCAGGAGGGGCAGCGCAGGCGAGGGGACCAGCACCTGAGCAGGAGGGGCAGC